AGGACCAATCAGCTGAACATTAAACCAAGTGCATGTGTTTGATTTTTACTTCTGTTTTTTTGTTCATTTTCCTGAATGGAATGCTTATTCTCAGCCTATAATTTGCATATGTGTCATGGAGCACAATAAGTTAAGAATAACTGAATGCCTGCCTTAAAAATAAATAATTAGATGATTTACTGGCATGGGTGGTAACATAATTTCAGCATATATTAACCTAACGAGATCAGTGAGTAGGAAATTTCACTTCTCCTTGCCGGGACGGATATTTTGTAAAGCCAGGCAGAGGCAGTGGTTATCAGAGATACTCTAACGTTATTTATCTCATATATTTCTGTAGTGGTTTGAAAAAGGATTGATGGCCTTATCCAGTAAATGATTCTCTTTCTGATTAATATTTCAGAAATCAATACCCCTCATACATACCCCCAAAATAAAATAATAATAATAATAATAAATACTTAAGAATAATAGAATGGGATAGTTAAGAGATTAGCATCTGAAAGCAAGAAAACTGTGTTTAGACTCAATTTCATGCTTAATGGATAGCTTTTGAAAGGTTAAAAAAGTTTGACTCTTCCATCTGTACAAAATGAAACAGGACCCATAACTCACACCATACACAAAAACTAACTCAAAATGGATCAAAGAGCTAAATATAAAACCTAAAATGATAAAGATCACAGAAAAAAAATACGGACAACACTAGAGACCTTAATACATGGCATAAAAAGCATAAAACCATAGTGAACAATGCACAAACACCGGAAGAGAAACTAGATAACTTGGAGCTCCTCAAAATTAAACACTTATGCTCATCAAAAGACTTCACCAGAAGAGTGAAAAGAAAACCCATAGACTGGGAAAAAAAATTGGCTACAACATATCCAACAAGGGTTTAATCTCTAAAATCTATAGAATACTTCAACAACTCAATAACAAAAAGACAAATAATCCAATTAAAACATGGGCAAAGGATATGAACAGACACTTCACCAAAGACGTTCAGAAAGCTAAGAGACACAAGGAGAATTGCTCCTGATCATTAGCCATTAGAGAAGTGCAAATCAAAACTAAAATGAGATACTATCTCACTTTGACATAAGTGTCACACACACACACACACACACAAAAAAAAAAAACAAACAAACAAACAGAAAATAACAAATGTTGGAGAGCCTGCAGGGAATTTGGAGCTCTTAGGTACTGCTGGTGGGAACATAAAATGGTACAGCCACTCTGGAAAATGATATGGAACCTCTTAAAAAGCTACAAATAGAAATGCCATATGATCCAGCAATCCTACTCCTAGCAATAAATATATCCTACAGAAATAAGAACCATTACATGAATAGGCATATGCACACCCATGTTCATTGAAACATTATTCACAATAGCAAAAAGATAGGAACAATCTAAGTGCCCATCAATTCATGAATGGAATAACAAACAATGTATACACATGCAATGAAATATTATGCAATGATAAAGAACAATGATGAATTTGAGAAACATCTCACAACATGGATGAATCTGGAGGGCATTATTCTGGGTAAAATACGTCAATTAAAAAAGGACAAATATTGTATAAGACCACTATTATAAAAACCCAAGAAAAGGTTTATACGCAGAAAAAAATCATCTTTGATGGTTAAGAGGGAGGGGAAGGGCAGCAAGAGGAAATCACCAACTAGATAGTAGAGAAGACAGCACACAATATAGAGGAAGTCAGCATAATTTGACCAAGGCAATGCCAGAGAGGCTTCACATTCTAAACACCTTGAAGGACCAAGTTACTGGGGCTGATGGCTGGGGACCATGGTGTCAGGGGACATCTAAATCAATTGGCATAACATAGTTCATAAAGAAAATGTTCTATGTGATAATTTGGTTTGAGTAGTGCCTGGGGTCTTAAAAGCTTTCGAGCAGCCATCCTCCCTTTTGATTAGCAGCAGTATATCTTAACCACTGCGCCGCCAGGGCTCCAAATATAACCAAAGACACAAGGAAAATATTCATCCAAAGGACTAATGGACAGAGTGAACCACAGCCTCTACCAACCTGAACCCAGAAGAGCTAGATGGTGCCTGGCTACCACCACTGACTGCTCTCAGACAAAGATCACAATAGAGGGTCCTGGACAGAGTGGGAGTAAAATGTAGAACAAAACTCTAATTCACAAAAAAAACACCAACCTTATTGATCTGACAGAGACTGGAGGAACCCCTGAGACAATGGTCCCCTGACTCCCTGCTAACTCTGAACTGAAGCCACTCCCGAAGTCCGCCATTCAGCCAAAGACTAGACAAGCCTATAAAATTATAATACATGTGATGATGTTGCTTCTTAGTTCAATCAAGTATACAAGGCCAAATGGGAAACACCTGCCCAAACGCAAAGAAGAGAAAGCAAGAAGTCACAGGAAAACTGGATGAATGGACTCGGAGAATCCAGGGTAAAAGGGAAAGGGGGACAGTGCTGACACACTGCTGCAACTGCAACTAATGTCACAAAACAATTTGTGCATAAAATTTTTGAATGAAAAACTAATTTGCATTGTAAACTTTCACCTAAAACATAATAAAACTAAACAAAAAACTTTGACTCAGTTTTCTCGTGAATAAAATGGTAGATTATTAGTGCCACCTTCTTTCATTGTAGTAAGATTAGATAAGGCTATAAATTACATTTCTTAAAACTATGTTTGACATATACAAGAGCTCCATAAGTTTAGAAATGTTGATGGTGATGATGATGATATGATATATGTGCAGGTGCTGAATAATTGGAGGCAAATATGCAAAAATATAATATAGAACTTTAAACTATTGCTCATACACTAGTAATTATACATCATATTTAGATATAAACATGATTTTAAAATGATAACAATTAACTTTTTTAATATGTGTTCAACTATTTACACTGAAATAGATAAAAATGAGAAATATGCATTTCTGAACATTTCAATTGAAGACAAATCCCAGGCCAATTAAGAGAAGACCTTGGGGTACAATTAAAATACATATCTCAAGAGAAGAAGGATGCTAATTGGCCAATTCCTTTATGAGATGAGTTTGAGAGTTTGAAGAAGAGATGCTGGTATAAGAAGACTGTTTAACACACTAGATTTCACAAGACCATTCACTGTCATGAGACTGCTTTAGAAATACACTAATAATAGCATTAACCCTGAATACAAATCTAGGCTTTAGCTGAAAAAAAAAAAAAAAATTAAATAATTATTTTAGTTAATTTAGTTTCTATTTCTATTTTATCAATGGAAGGTAATAATACCCAGTACTATCACCAAAAACACTGATCTATTTTTCGTCATCAATTTACTGACAGGGCTCCTTTACGCAGGAAATAAAACTCTGTGCTAAACAACGGCAACAACTTCTATAGACCCTTCGACTGACAGTTCCTAAGATTCAGAAGCATAGATGAGGCAAATATATGCACAAAAATACTAGTGATTTTGGTGAAGTTGCAAAACACTGTATTTTCTTAATGTCTGATCATAAACCTGAAAATAAGAAGATAGTTGAGAGAGAAGGAGATTTTCTTTGGATGACTGAATTTCAGGTAAGTCTGATTTTATTATCTTATTCTATCAGAAACTGTGTGTGTGTGTATTTCCCATAGTGAGAAGTATCCTTTTTACTTGTCTGCATCTTCCAATAGGCCTTAAGTGGCTCCCATGAGAAGCAAGACAAAATGCCTTCTTGAATAAATTCTTTCTAAACGAATACATGAATAAATAGAAAGAAATGTGTGGATACTAAATGATTAAACCAAAAACAAACAAAGCCACTGCCATCGAGTCAATTTTGACTCATAGCAACTCTATAGGACAGAATAGAACTGCCCCATAGGGTTTCCAAGGAGCGGTTGGTAGATTTCCAACTGCCAACTTTTTGGTTAGCAGCCAAACATTTGAGTAAATAACATCAAGTCCCTTTGCATTATTGACAGCATTATAGGTCTGAAGCCAACTGGTATTAACTGCACAGGTAGGTATCAACTGTATTTACCACAAATTTAAGTCAATTGAATTAGGAATCTAATTTCTAACGATAGATTACCTTATAATTTAAATTTTGTTTTAAATATAACAAACTATACTTATTTTACCGTTTCTAGCCTTTTTGTTACCATTGTTTTATTACCACATTTGAATACCAACGTTTGGCAATGAATTGGCTATAGCCTGATGTCGTAGATAATTATGTGCTTTATATTGGTAGCAATAGCAATCTTTTTTTCTGTTCCCACACAAACAAAATAATTGGAAATATATCATAGATTAGGTTCCTAATTTGGTCTTAGCTAACCAACAGAGGAAAAAAATGTAATAGAAGAAAAGTACAAATAATTTTAGCATAAGTTTATAAAATAAACAGGAAGTTTCTAATTTTTTTTTCTTTTTTACAAACTCTGGCAAAGTTTTGTCTAGTCAATGGGAAGTATTAGAAGTGTCCATCAAGTTTTTATTCAGCTCCTTAAAAAAACCCCGTAAAGTAGCTGTGAGGTGTCAAGAAAACAAGGCTGCCACACAACCCTATCATTCAAACCACAAATCATGAGTCTCCTGTTTAAAATGAGCTTTTTATTTTCCAATAGTACAAGATAATTAATTCCAACAGATAAATTGACAAATGTACAGTGTAAGGCTTAATAATAGACTGGGCTAGAGGATGGTTTATCTCAATAGAAATCTCTAAATCACTTTGGAAAAAAATTTAGGGGGAGTGCTATCAATTCAACACAGTTGTGAACTTGGGATTTTTTTTTTTATTAGTGTCTGCCAATTCTGTAAGATATGAAAATCATATAAATACTTAACTAACTTGAAGTCATTAGATATTTGCTCATATGGTAATATCTCATTATTTGAGTTTAACTAAGCTGTGATTATTAGGTCTTTCGGCCTGAATCCTTCTCTGATTTTTATTATTCTTATACACCAGGTAAACCAACAACCTCAGTCGAAATAAATGGCTGAGTCCAATTTCACTGAGGTGACTCTATTCATCCTCTCTGGATTCAAAAACCACCCTGAGCTACAAGTCAGTCTTTTTTTGATATTTCTATTTATCTATCTATTCACTGTCTTGGAGAACCTTGGACTAATACTGTTAATCAGAATTGACTCTCAGCTTCACACACCTATGTACTTTTTCCTTAGCAATCTGGCGTCCATTGACATATTTTATTCCTCCACCGTGACACCCAAGACTCTGGTCAATTTCCAGTCTAACCAGAAAGCCATTTCCTTTGTTGGTTGCTTTGTCCAAATGTATTTTTTTGTTGGTCTGGTGTGTAGTGAGTGTTTTCTTCTGGGATCCATGGCTTATGACCGCTATGTAGCAATCTGCAATCCCTTACTGTATTCGGTGGTTATGTCCCAGAAAATGTGCAACTGGCTGGGAACCATGCCTTACGTGATTGGCTTCACAAATTCTTTGATATCCATTTGTGTGATAAGCAGTTTGGCATTCTGTGATTACAACATCAATCATTTTTTCTGTGACACCACAGCCCTGTTGGCCCTGTCCTGTGTAGATGCATTCAACACAGAAATGGTGATCTTTGTTTTAGCTGGGTTCACCCTTCTTAGTTCTCTTCTGATCATTACAGTCACATACATTGCCATCATCTCAGCCACCCTGAGAATCCAGTCTACAGCGGGCAGGCACAGAGCCTTCTCCACCTGCACATCCCATCTCATGGGTGTAACCATCTTCTACGGACCCCTGATTTTCACATATTTGCAGCCTGATAACACATCCTGCCTGACACAGGCACAAGTGGCATCTGTATTCTATACCATTGTCATTCCTATGCTGAATCCACTGATCTATAGTCTGAGGAACAAAGACGTGAAGAATGCTCTCTCGAGAGTCATACATAAAAAACTATTTCCATAACAATTCTATGCATGTTACAAAAACAAACCTGGGTGGATACAGGCATTAAATGACGCCAACATTTAGGAAGATATTATGGCAACCTAACATGATATATCACAAACTAAATGATCAGCTTGAGTCTTGACATTTAGGAGGTGAATTACCATTTATTTGTTTATAGGGAATACTGATCATTGTATTAGGAGGTTATTTAGACACATCATTATTTAGAACATAAACATGTACAAGTAGGTAAAGAGCTATCTGAGCAGGGACTGAATTCATGCCAGAACATTCATGTGTGAGAAGGCTGTCACATTGAATCATGTAAACAAATGCTTAAATTGACCTTCAATATAACTTGACATTCTGTTTTCTCAGCTGTTAGCAAATTGAGAGCAGAAAATTAGATGATTAAGACTTGAGTTCCCCTAAATTTTAACGAACAATAAGAAATAACAGCAGATATCTTGGGAGCAAAGCAGTAAAGAGTACAGAACTAATAAAAACAAACAAGAACAAAAGAAGTTTGTGGTCATTTCAGTGAGGTGGCAGCATGATTAAGGCCAGAGGACACTGGGTAGTACAGAGAACTCTCTTCATCATGCGGAGTCATTTCACCATAATAGTTAAATTTTTGATCATATATCATATACCTAAAACAAACCCCCTATGAAGAGTCTTTAGTCTCGGGAGTGACTTAAGGTAGTTCATGTGATGAGATCTGGGTGTGTGTGTGACTGTGTGTGTGTGTGCTTGTTAGATTTTTTCTTTTCTTCTCTGATCTATATTAGAGGGGTCTGACTCCTGAAAGCTTCATTTTATAAAGTAATATTTTGTATTTTAAATTGTTTTAAGGGACAGCTTTGAAGCACACTACTGCATTATTGGTGGGATGTATTGAAGATACTGTCTACCTCATTATGCGTTCCCTTTATTATGCTTATATGAGTTTTTCCCTTGTGATTAATATTGGTAGCCCTAAAGCCTTCTAAAAGGTTGCTGTGATTTGGAATCAACTCGACAGCAATGCAAAGGGTTTTTCAAAGACTTTTCATCATCATCATCACTGAGAATTATAAACTAACTGTATATTTTTGCTACCAGATATTGTCATTCTAAATATACTGTCCAATTTTTAATAATTGTGCAAAACAGCCTGGCTTGTACATCTTATTTATACCTAACCATCAGGTAGTTTTTATATGTTGTATTTATTTTCCAACTGTATTGAATATGTATTCTATAGATAATGGCAAGTGGTTGTTACACTTATTTCTTTAGTATTAATATAATTATGCAACAAATGGTTCTTTAAAAATTATTTACATTATTTTGTCGTTTTGTCTCTAGGAGCAAAAACATGTTACACTTTACTTACCCATCATGAGAAGTAGTAATATATTTTATTTCTCCAAATTCAAATTCTTCCATTCAATTCAAAATATGTTTGATGTATCAGGTGCCTTATTAAAAAAAAAAAAAAAAAAAACCCTTGTATTTCTTCAGTTTGTGTTCTTATTTTGTAGAACAATGTTTTTACTACTGCATTTGTCTGACCCTCACTTCCTCCAGGTGTCTGTGTGGCTCTGTACTTCACTTATTTCAGGTTGCTCAAATGTGATCTGTTCACTGAAAACTTCTCTGACAATCATCTTTTTTTTTCCAACAAAACTTGTTTTATTGTTTTCTCTTTGGAATCACATGAAAGTTTTACATACTTAAAAAAATAATTCAGAAAGAAAAAGTGTGGTAGATAGCATTATTATTTTTTTAATTGTGATAAATATACAGGTAGTCCCCAACTTATGACATATTTGAGTTACAACGATCTGCACTTACGACTGTCCGTTATTTTTGTACATCTTATTGTTAGTAATACGTGCTATGTACAATGTTGTACCACATAATTTGCTGCTGTTATCATTATCAGATATAATGTTTCCAACCCTCAAAGACAAATAAAGATTGAATTTATAAACATTCTGATAATAAAAGGAAATGCTAATGAAAACTAAAACAAACAAACAAAAAAACCCGAGGTATTCGACTTACCCCAGAACCGACTTAGGACACAGTAGTTGTCAGAAGGGAACCCCATCATGAGTTAGGAACTACCTGATATGTAACAAAACGTTTGCCATTTCAGCAATCTTCCCATGTAGGTAGATGGCGTTATTGTTCTCAATTCTTTACCTTCTGTGGATTTCTACCCTTTGCCTTCTTACTCTGAAGTTCTTCCCAATGGAGGTGGAGTGTATTTTCCTGGCTGTGGAAGATTGTATTTCCAAAAATGGTCTCAGCAAGATTTCCAGTCCCACATGCTCTTACAGAACTTGGACATTATCAACATCTCTTCTCTTAAACTAAAAAAAAAAAATCTCAGCTCTCAAGACATCTGCATTATTAACTATTTGCTTCATTCTAGAGTGTATGTATATCCGTGTGTGTGTGTGTGCATAAATGTATGTGTTTATGTGTCTTTTTTTGTTTCAAAGTAATAAATAGCTATTTTTACTAAAAATAATACTTCTAAATGTAGTTCAAGATTTCTTTGTAGTTCCTTTTTTCCTTAGGTAATGTCTTTCTAGGAATGTATAGTCAAAGTTCTGTGTTTTAGAGTTATTACAGATATTTGTGTTTATACCATGATGATCATAAAACTTAGGCTCTTGTTTTCCAGTTTGTGTTCAGATTGTTAGGCTTGCTTTTTGATCAATTATTTGTTGCCACATCATACTTCACAATAAGTCAGCCAAAACTGAGTTGCTTCAAATAGTATTTTTAAATTCTCATTCATGTATCTGCATACTGGCTAGAATTATTGACCTAGGCTGGACTCCACGGTGTTGCTGCCCAGGTCTGCACCACATCTCTCATCCTCTTTGGACCAGCAGGCTAGTTGGGCGTGTTCTTTTGGTAGAAATGACAGACACACAAGAGGGCTCTGCTAAGCACACAAACACTTTTCAAGCCTTTGCCTGCAGCACATCTGTTAACATTTTTTTGCTCAAAGCCACTCATAACTAATCCCAAAGTTAAGGGGTAATGTTGAAGTTACTATGACTGTATAACACATTTCCCCAAAACTTAGTGGTGTAAAACAACCATTATTTCTCTCATGGATTCTGTGGGTCAGGAATTCAGGCAGGTAGGAATGATAAATTTCTGCTCCACAATGTCTGGAGCTTCAGCTGGAAGACTCGAAGGCTGGGAACTGGAATCATCTAAAGGTTCACTTGCTTGTGACAGTTGACACTGAAAAGCGTTGATGCTTAGCTGGGGGTCTCAGTGCTTCTCCATGCGATCCCTCCACATGGACTAGTTTGGGCTTCCTCACAACATGGTGGCTGAGTTTCAAAGGAAAGTGTCCTGAAGGAGAGACAGAGCCAGGTGGAGGCTGTACCATCTTTTATGACCTCAAAAGACATGCAGTGTCACTTCTGCCACATTCTGTTCATTAAGGCAGACCTAAAGTCCAAACAGTACTGCCCAGGTTTAAGAAGAGGGTACCTGGATTCCATCTCTTGAAAATTCTTTCTTAAGATAGCAAACCCAAGTGTCCCCATGTGTTCCCTCCACTTTGTTTTTCTACACGGCATTATCACCATCAACGTACGCATAATTTATTGTTTATCCTCTCCCCACTCCCACTGACTAAATGACATTCTTGCTAGACAGGCTTCTTCACTATTCCTCCAATTGCACTGCCCAGCCCAGCCCCTGCACGGGGCATTTGCACTGGCATTCCCTCTACCTAGAACACTTTCTTCCTACATACCTGCATGACTAACTTGTCCCTTCTTCAAGTCTTAGCTGAAATGTCAAATTCTCACTGAATCATTAGAAAGTATGTTAAACTGAAGGAAAATGAACACACAGTGTATCACAAATTGTGGATGAGCTTAAGCAGTCCTTAGGAAAAAAAATATAATTTTACATGTTAAGTAAGATAATTCTTAAATCAATGATCAAAGTTTTTGCCTTAACAAGCTTGTAAAAGAAGAACTAATTACCCAAAGCTTATAATGTGAAGGAAGTAAAATTCATAAAACATAGATAAATAAAACAGAAAACAGGTAAAAAATAGAGACAATGAATACAGTCCAAATTTCCTACTTTGAAAACAAGTTACAAAATTGATAATTCACTAAAAATATTGTTCAGTAAAATATGACATAAGACACAAATACCTACAGATGTCATATGCAATAGGGAATATTATATACCTGTACATAAGAATACATTTTAAAATTGAAATGAAATGGGAATATTATTTTTAAAACACAATTTACCAAAAGTGAATGTGTTGGAAAAGAAATTAGAGTATTCCATTATATACTAAAACTTAAACTTATGATTATAAATTCACAAGCGCCACTCCCTTAAAAAAAAAAAAAATGTACTAAAATCTTTAGACCCAGATAGTTCAATGGTAATTTCTATCAAATATTTAAAGAAGAAACAATACAAATATTACACAAATTCTTTCAGAAAAGAGAATAGGAGGAACTCTTCCAAAATAATTATATGGGTCTGATAAGCCTAATACCAAAAACTAAAATATACTTTACAAGGGAAAAAATGACAGACTTATATCCTTAATGCTCATAGCTTTAAAAATCTTAAATAAAATAGCAGCAAATTTAATCCAGAAATACTAAAATTAATTATATATCATCATCAAGTGGGATTTATCTCAGAAACATAGGATTGGGTAAATATTAAAAAAAATTGACATAATCCACTATTTTAAAATGACAATAAAGAAAAAGATGTTATAATAATGGGTTCAGAAAAAGTACCTGAAAAATTTTATACCTAGTCATGATTTAGAAAATAAAAAGAAAACCAAAAACTCCTCAGTCTGATCAAGGACATCATGGAACAGCTATGGCTAACTTATTATTTAATTTGTGCTTATCTAATTTTCTCCCCAATGATCTGAAACAAGTAAGGATATATATATTTTCACTACTTCTATTCAGCATTGTGTGGATTAATCTAGCCAGGACAAAAAGGTAAGAAAAAGAAATAAAAAGCATACAGATCGGAAAAAAAGTAAAATTATTTTATTCATGATTACAGAATCCACA